AGACTACCACATGACCCAGCAATTCCACTCCTGGATATATATATCCCCCTCATACCCCAAAAACATTAATTCAAAAGATACATGCACCTCAATGTTCAGAGCAGCATGATTTACAATGGCCAAGATATGAAGCAACCTAAGCGTCTATCAAAAGATGAATGGATTAAGGAGATGTGGTATTTATATATATATATGTATATATATACACACACACACACACACAACAGAATACTACTCAGTCATAAAAAAGGATGCAATTTGACAATATATTTTGCAGTAATATGGGTGGACTTGGAGGGTATTATGATAAGTGAAGTAAATCAGACAGAGAAAGACAAATACTGTATGATACAACTTACATATGGAAACTAAAAGACACAAGAAACTAGTGAATAGAACAAAAAAGAAACAGATTCATAAATACAGAAAGGGAAGGAGGAGGGGTAAGATGGGGGAGAGGATTAAGAGGTAGAAACTACAATGTATAAAATAAATAAGCTACAAAGATATATATTGTACAACAGGGGGACATAGACAATATTTTATAATAATTATAAATGGAATATAACCTTTAAGAATTGTGAATCACTATTTTGTACACCTGCAACTTATATGATACTATACATCAACTATACCTCAATTTAAAAGAAAAAAGAAAAAAAGCTATGCTAGAGGTATGCTCTGGAGGGACAAGGGGTATTCAAGTAAAACTAGTGGGTGGGGAAAGCTAGCAGAAGGATGTTGGGAGAACAATTCCCAGGAAACTTCCAAAGGCACGTGAGGAGTTGAGAGCCAATGTGCCCAGACTTCTTAGGTGACAGGAGGTAGGAACTCACTGAGACAAGGAATACAAGTGTTAATAGCATGTGGATATAGGATGTTTCCTGTTGTCTTGAAATGAGGCAAAAGTCCCAAAGCTGAGAACCCAAGGAAATAAGTACTCCTTGTAAGTTCCACAAAGAAGCTGCTAGAAGACTTACTCCTATTGGGCTTTTTAAAAAGTGGGCAGGTCAGACCTGCTACTCCTACCCTCTACTGCATCCAGATTAAGCAAATGATTAAAATTCTGAAGGCTTTTTTTTTTTTGAAGTAGGCAAGGTTATCCTTGGGGGAGAAGCACTGCAGAGAACTCATTCTGGGTCTTCTGAGGAAGGAAAGAAGGGTGATCCCTGCCAAGCCAATTAGGAGGCACTCAGAATTACCCTTTGTAATTGGAGACTGGAGGTGCCTACAAGAGGAGGAAACTGGGAGAAGCAGACACTTAATAGGGGCTCTAGTGAAACCAGAGGTGATCCCCAAAATGAAGGTAAGAACTCAGGCTGCTGATAAAGGAAAAGAGAAGAAGCCAACAAAATGCAAATAACCAGTGAGACAACTGAAGTTAAACCCCTTTGGGGAGCCGGGGGAACGCTGTAAAACAACCATCTCAGATACTGCTTCAGGGCAGCTGCTGGGAGACATCAGGCCGCTAGCCGCTAGCCGCTAGCCCAGTGAGCCACCGGGGTCAACTCCGACAGCCAGAGAACACCCTCTGGCAAGGAGGTGTAGACGCTGGCTGTAGGAAGTTAAACAGAAATGCTCGGGAATAATGAAAGGCTGAGGGGAGCTGGCTGGCAGCAACCAGGTCTGCGAAATTTGAAACTGTGACATGGTCACTAGCAGTTTTCCAGAATTCCGCTGAAACCTAGGAAAAATAGTAATTACCTGACCAAGAGACTGAACTCTTTCAGACTCCACTTAAAATGGTTTAAATACCACACAAATACTTCTTTTAAAATTCCTATGATAACAGCGCTTCTCCAGGATGAACTATACAGTGTTGAAAACAGTCATTTGAGTAGTAAATCCATAGTGAATGGCAATGTTCAGTGACAAATCTTAGAATTTTTGCCTGCTGTTCCTGCACGTCTTAGTAAACTTTTCTTCCACGTGGTCCATAAAGGCACCTTCTGTGTCTCTTAAGGAAGATGGTACAAAGGAATTAGTGAAAACAAATGTATTGACCATAATTTTTGTTCATCTTTTTAAAATTGCTATTTAATAGTCTTTGCTTTAAAAGCTTGCTCTGTAGGTCAGATGCACGTCTTGTTCTGCGTGGTCATGTAGGGCTATTCAGAGGAGCCTTATTTGTCCAGGGTAGAACTTGAGCCTTTAACTATGTGTTTCAGCATCTTTTTATGAGTGTATGGCAGAGTCTTCTCATCCAGCCTTCTTACTCGAGTGCAATTCACTCAAAATGGGCTGCTCTAAACAAGGTGGGAATAAATTTGGGGGAAAATTCTTCACAATACTCAGGCCTCAATCCACCATACCAACTACCTTTGTAATAAGAAAAAATATCCAACATTCTGGATAATCTACTATTTGCATTTTAAGAAAAAGCAGAAATCTACATGCTTTACTTTAAAGATTAGGAATATCTTTCACCATATACACTACAACAAATGAGAAACTCCTGCATTAAAGCAATCATTAACAACACTGCTGGAGGCAGACACCAAGAGCTATAGAGAAAGAGCAAACCCACCGTATATGAAGCAGATTTAACTGGCCACAGAGCTTTGGGTAAAATTAGCTTTGAATCCCACAGTTCTCATGAGGCCTGTAGGTGATAAATCTCTGCACTGTTCTTCTGTTGGCCATATTTCAGCAACGGACACCCATGTACTAGACTGGCAACTGAAATAAAATCACACAACGTGAGAGTTGTAGGTTAAGTTTTATTTGGGGCCCAATGAGGACAACAGCCTGGGAGCCAGCATCCCAGAAAGCTCTGAGAAACTGTTCCCATGAGGCAGGGGAAAATTCAGCATTATATATGATTTCAGTGAAGGGGAACATGCAATAAACACGTTTAGGCAGAGGCTGCTGCTAATCACAAGGAGCAGATGTCACTGTTCATGATTTTAGTGCTTTTCTAGATATGAGACGCAAGAACTGGGGTCATAAAATCTCCTGAGATAAGCTTCAGAAACAAGCTTAGAGTGTCTTCTTAATAATTCAATTAAACTTACAATAATATAAGAAAATAATAAGAAACTATCTGGAAAGTGAGTCGTAGGCTGTAAATACAGACCTCCATTAACAAATCTAGACTTAATTTTCACTGAAACATAATCTTTTTCTCTCTAAAGTTACCCTCATTTTTATCAAATATAGCAAAATCAAGGTAAATTTGTCCACAAATTAAGTCTGATTATTTGTCATATAATAAATTAATATATAATCTATTATAATTTATATATAATTTAATGTATTTATTATGTAATTACATAATTTATCATTTAAATCATATATAATTTAATTTAATATTTATTACAATTTATATATAATAAATTAATATAATTTTAAAATTGGCTGTGCCAGAACTTTTCATAAGGAGTCTCAGGCTGAAATTTTAAGGTCTCCTAAGACTAGGAAAGCCACATCAAAGGCATGTCACAGATTTTTGCCTTATGATTTAGGTGAATTCTTTTCTTTTCAAGGTCCCCAAAATACCTTGATTCCTATACCTGTTAGGAGGAGATCTTCCTAATTTATCTGATAAAGCCACTGGGAACCTAAAGGTTTCCAATCTCTGGAGGGATCACAGAGAGAGAAAAGATAACCGTTCCAAGTCTGCTTACATAGGTATAATTAACCAAATTGCTGTTAGTCATAATTAGCTTAAGGAGAAAGGTTTCTTTCTATCTGGAAAACACAGATGAAAAGCCAGTAATGTTTCAGACAGGAACCATAAAAATTATAACCATTATTTCCCAGTTCACTCAGTCCTATGTAACTAATCCTTTCTGTTAATAGTTTTATGAAGCCATCAGGTTTTCCATTAGAATTCTTTAATTTTCTTATCCAGTTCAACATATGGTCTGGAAGTTATCAGAAATCTGTATTTATCAAAGAAATCTTTTCTATAAACCTTCTTGAAGAGGAGATATTTTGCAAAGGAATCAGAGTGAACCATAACTAACTATAGAATGGTAAAAAACTCAAGGCACAGTTTAAAACCTTATTCCAATGCAACTGATAAGAACTTAGGTACTGACGTGACATACAACATTTTAAGATAACCAGAATTATGATTGATAGCATTTTACCAGGAATATACCAGATTTTTTTTTAAATTCCATATATTTTCTAGAATATCTGTATTAATAATGTTTTCTCATACAATATAAACCAAGAAGATTTATTATTCATTTGATAATACTTCCCATGTAGTTTAACATACCAAATGAACCTTACTGGTTTAAAAATCTCTGTTTGGGATATTCAGGGGCCCTCTGAAATATGCCAGAATTAGCTGGAGGTCAGAAGAACTCTCATTAAAATTTGGTATTTGGGAAGCTTATTAAAAAGTTTCAAAACACTTGATCAGATAAAAGCATAGGTCACTGTGAAATAATACTTATTAACAATAAAATATTTTAAAGGTAAATACAGAACAGATCACTTAAGGGGTAAAAGAAACTTTACAATCTGTTGCTAAAGGCAGATTAACATTTTAAGAAACCTTTGTCCTCTTAACAGGGAGAAAGAGAACTAAATCTAGCCTTATACCTTCTAACAGTCATTTACTCGACTAAATTTATTCTAAACTTAGCCAATCCCGACCATGTACAATACTCTTTTCTCAGGGTTCCTCTTCCACAAACCTTCCACAACTTTCTGTATCCATATTATTTTGTCCCTTATTTTCTTTTCCATTCAGAAGCAACCAACTTTAGGATAAAATCACTCTTTTTCCATTAACAAAAGGTAATTCCATTCCTCATACCTTCTTTTACTAAAAACACATATCCTACTTTCCTGCTACATACTAAACATTTCCTTTATGTTTCCTAGTAGCTTTAATTAAATTTTTAAAATAGAATCCTCAACTCTTAAAAATCTAATGAAAACTAAGAAGTAAGCAATTATGAGATGCCTTTTACATTAGTATTCTGTAGGTTGGCAAACAAATATCAATAATAATTTCTAAGAACCATGTGCTTTCTTATAGACTGTATCACATTTTGGCACTAAACATATTAATAGTCCTACACACCTTTAGTTTCTCTGCAAAGGGAAGCCAATATTCAGTAATTAGTGATTCAGTACATTACTATATTTGGGAATGACCTAGTTCCCACCATCACCAATAAACTTTCACCATTTAACTTAATTTAGCACAACTCTAAAATTTTAAGTTACCAGATATCTGGAGAATTTATTTTAAAGTAGACATCTCTAAAATATATCACTCCTAAAGAATTCATCCAAAGGCTCTTATCTCATTTGCATTCACCTCACTTTTAAAAATTTCACCGTATCAAGTTACCTTCCTTGCTGACAAATTTGTAACAGATATAATAAGATCTTATTTGACTTCTATTAAACCTAGGTACAACAAAGGTTTTATACTTAATATTGATGACTCTAGGGACATGCCTATATTAATTAAATCAGCAAACTTTAATATCAGGTATTAATTTAATACTGAATATTGCCCAGTTCACGTGAACCTGAAATTCATTCTGGCCAGTTTCCTTTTATATTTCTGAGAATTTATATAAGGGCTTATTTTCCTTTAGGCCAACTCCATAGAACTTATTTACAAATTAGTTTTGATAATACTATCCAAAATTAAAGGCGTATGCAGTACACACACAGACATGTAGACAGACACAACCAGAGATCTCATAGTTTCATCTTCCAAACTTGGTCATGAATCAGGTGTTACAATGTAAAACTCACTAGTTTTAACAGTTGGAACAAGCTAAATTTAAAAGTCTTCATTCCCCCACCACCCCACCCCCTACAATCTCAGGAATTAGAGATGGTCTACATAAGATAGTTGTTCCTGAGAGCCTGGTCTTAAGGCACAGGGAGAGAAAAAGCAAGTTCTCCTAGAAGGACTTGTTCCTTCTGTGTCAGAATTCTGAGGTGATTTTCTAGGTCGGCTTTCATATCTGGGAGAAGTAAGTGGGGCTATCAGTTATAGCCCTGAGGCATTACAGCCCACATATATTGCCTCTCATTCCAAGTAAAGGCAAAAAGACTGATCATCTGGATGTACAGGAATACTAAAAAAAAAAAATGTGCTACAGAGCTCTATCACAGAAAAGAAGTCACTGCTTTTAGGAATACAGACAGTGAGGTATGGGGGTTTGGCATTACAGAATGATGAGGAGTATTTTAATGGGTGATGCAGAATGTGTTCTTCCAATGTCGGCAGAATCAAGTGCCCATAATTCTTTAGGTACTAAGCCTAATGGTTTGTCTTGTTCAGTGTCATCCTCAACATGAGTCACAAACATTATATGATGAATGACGTCTGACTAGTCCTTTAGGTCTAGAAACATTTCTCCCTTAAAAGTAAAGGAAATATGGACTTCATAAGTTTCCAATAGATCTCTGCGTATCAGGTGACTGGGAGCACTTTCTACTAGAAGAACAAGGAGGGCCTTCCTTTATGTTGCCCTAAGTAGAATTCTAAAGATAATGATTTAAAAGCCTTAATAAGTGCATTAGAAACCCCTGCCATCTGTACTGAGGTATTACTCTGAGGGGGAGGGCCTTTAATTTTGGCAGCATTCAAAACTGGAAAGGTGGCCCTTGTATCTATGAGCACTTTGATTGTTTCTCCTTGTATAATCATTTCTCCTTCTCCTAGGGTGTTAGAGAGGGGAAGGGGAAAGAGTCCCCATGTTCCCCCGGAGCAGCCCTATTCTTGTTGAACTCATAATTCTGGTCTAAAACCCAGTTTTCCTTCTAGGCTTCTCCTTCTTAACTTAACATTTATTTTCTGATGCTCTGGTTTTCTGCAGTAAAAGTAAACTTTGGCTTTCTCTTTTCAGTTGTGGATTGAATGGGGATTGGTTAACCTTCGACTGGCATTGAGTACTTATTTAGTGCAACTGACGGTTCATGATTTCTGTAGGTATTCCCTGTTCTTTCTTTTTAATGGTCTTAAAAGTTGGTCAGCCAGTGTAAAAAGGGCGTTTGTAGGTAGTGTGAACCAACCTAGATCGTCTTTTGACCAGAATAGTCAGTTCCTCATCTAAGCCTTCTAAAAAGGCAGAGTTAATTAAAGGATCTTTTTGGTGATTAGAGATTGAATGAATCAAGCCAGAATATTACTTAAAAGTTTTTTTTACCTTTCATAATAGTCCAGAATTGATTCATCAGGTCTTTGCTTGCACTGCTGGATCTCTGCCCAGTCTACAGTTTTTGGAAAAAGCTCTCAGATAAATTTGAGCAATTTTTGAGCTAATTCCTTGCATTCAGTGTGAGCCTGTGGATTATGTAATTCAAAGTCCATTAGAGGTCGTTTCCAACCTGCTTTCTCTGTCCATTCCCCCAGTTTGCTTTCAGAAACTAATTGATATAGACCTGAAAACGCAGGCTCGCAGATCCAGATGGTTAACTCAGACTCCTTAGCGAACCCCAATGGATCTTGACTTGGAGTGGGAAATTCCTTAGCCAAGGCTCTAAGTTCTGCTTGGGTCCAGGGTGCGTACATAAGTACTGAGGATGGTTCACATATCCCTGTAATAGGTTTCTCCTTAAGGAGACCTATAATCACCTCTGATTTTTTTTTAAACACTCCTTTACTGGGGAAGAGGGAATAGCAAGAGGTGGAAGAGACAGGAAAGAAAAGGAGATTATCTGGACCAGATAGCTCGGGTAGGAGAGGATACATGGGAGGAGCAGAGGCAGAGACAGTGTCAGTGCTAGAGGTCTTTTCTAGTTCTGACATAGTTTCAAGCAACTTCTTGTTGGTTTCCTGCAAAGAAGTTATTGTATCATTTCCTCTTTTAGAAGCTTCTAAATACCAATCAAGTAAGCATTCCATTCAGTCTGTTTGCTCTTAAGGCCAGCCTTTTCTAATTGTACATGCAAAAATATCAATATTGGAATATCAAAAAGAACCCCAATTTGGCCATTTTAGATTGAGATCTCCTTTAGTATAATTTCCCCAATTAAGTAGGTACTTGCAAGTATGAGCTCCGAACATGAATCAGGCTAGGGTGTTAGTCCGAGGTTGGTGTTCTGATGCCCTTCGTCTCTCTGTTTGAAAGACTCTATTTCTCATTTTAAAGTTGAATTTGTCAGGAATAAAATTTTACATTTATCCTGACAAGTTCTATTGAGGTAGCCAAACTGAGGAAAAGCAGCAGCTCAGCCTCTTACCTAACCACTCAGTCCAGACCCTGGTATCTTTCAACCAGGCCCCACCCAGTAAGTCTCCACTAGGTGAGTATTTCCCCCCAGTATCTCTCTGCTAGAGGGCCAGGTACCTGGATACACTGCCAAACAAATCTCAGTGTCATCAACCAATATAGGAGATCCAAGAATCAGTAGAGACTCACCCAAATTCATCTGGACTCTCCGAGGAGGCGGATGGGTGCAGAGGGCCTCTGCTGGTATCAAGGCTCCAGTTCCTTGCAGACTTCAGGCGAAGGTGAGAAGTCTGCTCAGGGTCCCATCGTGGTCACCAAAAACTGTCAACTGAAATAAAATCACACAACATGAGAGTTGTGGGTTAAGTTTTATTTGAGGCCAAATGAGGACTATAGCCTGGGAGACAGCATCCCAGAAAGCTCTGAGAAACTGTTCCCAAGAGGCAGGGGAAAACTCAGTATTATATATTTCAGTGAAGGGCAGACGTGCAGTCAAACACACACGTAGGCAGAGGCTGCTGCTAGTCACGAGCAGCAGACGTCACCATTAATGATTTTAGTGCTTTTCTAGAAATGAGGAGATGCAAGAATTAGGGCTCATAAAATCTTCTTCTGAAAATATCTAACTATTTGAAGGCCTGTTCAGTCAGTCTTCCCAGAGCACAGAGCACCTCATTCCTGATCTCCATCCTGAACGCCTTTCAGGGTGTGTTGGAGGTCAGCAGCTGCAGCGGCTTGTGATTTAATCCAAGCAGAGGTAGATGGCAAGTGCCAACGTGATCCTATCCTTGTAGAGGCAGATGGCAAGTGCCAATTTTAAGTTAGCAAGACATGAAGAAAAATGAGAATTTAACAATTTGTTCATGATGTCTCTCAGAACATGGTCTCATTTCTGAAGATCAGGATCCAGGAGTAGTAAATTGCTGAACAATTTATAAATGAGAATCTAAGTAAAATTTTGCTTAATCTCCCTACCATTTCTGCTTGAATTAATTTTGTCCTTCAAATTCCAACTCAAATCCTACTTTATTTTATTTCCCTGGAAGTGTCTTTTAAAACTTCTCATTAGTTCTTTGGAACTTGAATAGCACATATTCTAGCCCATAGATTACTTAGATGTTTCTTAACATCAAAGGGCTTGGTCTTACAAAATATTCTTGGCATGTTCTTCCATAGTGACTGACATGTGAGAAAATTTGAGGGGTATCATTTTAATTACACACCTAGACAAGACCATTTAAATTTAATTCATGCTAAAATGTATACATTTTTTGCAAATAAATTATCTTAATTTACAATTATAAAGTTATTTGCTTCTCATTGTGAAATGACAATAAAACTCAATCATTATCCCACTATTGAGAAACAACCACTGTTAAAACCTTGTTTTGTTTATAATTGATATGTAATTATAATATGTAAATGTAACATGTATTATTCATCCTTATCCAAATAAAAAATGCTGGATTATACAAATTAACTCTGCATAAACACTATAAAAATGGCACCCTAATAATAATAACAGTGTGTGTGTATTAATCTTGTGCCAGAGAACATGTGCTTTACATAATTAACCAAGTGCTTTAATATGTGTAACAAATTTAATGCTCACAATAATTCTGTGATGTAGATTCAATTATTATCATTCCCATTTACAGCTGAGGAAACCAAGACAGAGACAGTTTAGGCGATTAAAGGCAGTAAAGCCAAGGTTCAAAGCTACGCAGCTTGCTTCTGGAGTTCATATTTCAACCCACTGGCTCTCTACACACAACACACTGAGTTACAAACTCAATCTTCAATAATATATTAAAAGTTATGAATAACAAAGTATATAGGTTGTTGCCATTCATTAACTGAGCATTTAAAAAATTTACTGTATCATTAAAGGTGACAGGTAAAAAAATACCTTTTATATTATTTGCATTTGCAAGTATTACTATTAAGATACAATGCATAAAGCTTATATTTGTGTCATATTCCTAACTTTAGAATAAGTTACCTGTACTTAAGTGTCATGACTTGAATTTTAATCCAAAAGGGTCCTTTTCATAAGTTGTCTAGAAATTTGGCAGATTACATTGGTACCAGATATGCAATTATTATTATTAATTAATAATTATTAATTATAATACTATCATTATTACTATTATTAATAAATATTGTTTCTGATTGCTAAACTTCTATTTGGAATTTGACTTTTCCAAATATTGAATAATTCACGAGTAAAATTCAATTTTGAGGGTTTTGTTACAGCATTTAAAACTTGCATATGAAAGCTTGATAGATTGATCAAGATACTGTATAGCCCATTCATTTTACAGTGGAGCGTAGGACTTCAACTACCCTTCTGTGAATAATTCAGAATGATATTTTAAACAGGATGAAATTAAGCAATCTATTCAAAATTTGGCAACTTAATCATAAATGCAAATAGAGTTACATGTTTTAATTCTAGAGCTGAATTTACTTCACGCAATAGAAAAAATATTGAACAAAGCTAAAATAATTTGCTGAGGCTGGAATAGAATAAATATTTGTTTCATTGTACTATTTAATTCTTTTATTTTGGTGGGAGGTAGGGAGAGGTAATTAGGTTTTATTTATTTTTGGAGGAGGTACCAGGGATTGAACCCAGGATCTTGTGCATGCTAAGCATGTGCTCTACCACATGAGCTACACCCACCTCCCCAGGAATAGAATAAATATTGATTGTTGTTAGTAAACTATAAAACAAAGGTTTTTTTTACATGGTTTAAATGAAGCAATATGAACTGAAAGAGAATTTGTACACTTCCAGAAACTAAGCGAATAAAACATCACGAATGTCTGCTTAAAAGCTGAATCAGTGTGATACAAAAAGAGTGAACTTGGGGATATCAAACAGAAGTCAGACAGGGTTCTCTTCTTAGTGACTGATTCTAAGTCCTGCCACAAGCAAATAATAAAATATTAAAAGTACCAAAGGAAACTCTCTAATACAAGGTTTTTCATCTTTAATCAAATCCAATGTGAGGCAAGTTAGTTTAGAAAATGCTTTAGTTGTTTCCGTTTGTAACAATACTGACATCTGGTGGTTGTACAATTTATACCTTGCTGTCTCCAATTTACTCTTATTTAAAAAACAAATCGAGTTAAAATTAAAAAGTTCCCCATACCTTAAACTTTTACTTACCCATGTATTGTAATTATAACTGTAACTAACAAAATATTTAAATAAACCAATGGCATTTGATATTTAATTGACCTCTCCTCATCTCCAAAATGTAATATATTTCATTTACTACAAGTAGAAGTACTTAGATGCCCTGAACAAGTAAAGAAGGTTACGTATGAATCAAGGCCTCTTGAATTTCCCAACTTTTATCCTAATAGCTCCTAAGAGTTCACATTTATTGAATACCTTGCTATTCCAGACCCTGTTTTAAGAACTTTTTATATAATTGTCTCCTTCATTACATAATATGTTAAGTAATGTAAAACCATTGTTATTCCAATGTATAAATTGTTATTCCAATGTATAAACAAGGAAAAAGGCTTGTCCTAAACTATTAAAAAGTAAGAAAACTGGGATCCCAGTGGCCATGCTGTTAACTGCTTTCCTATATTTTCCCACTGGAACAAACTTTTAACTTTTTCTAGATTTTTTTTTGGTATTATCTCTCCTATTGCTCCTCTGTTTACCCAGAAAGAGTCATTCATATTTATGTGTGAAGCTATAGACCTAAGTATAGGGTATATTCATATTCTATGGATTATATTTTGACTTCATTTTCATCTCTTTAAAAAATCCCCTCCCACCAATTTAAATTAGAAATCCAGTTCTTGCTCAAATATTATTTAAATTGTTAATCACTAGAAAATCTATTTTAAGCAATACAATATCCTCTCTCGGTCAGTTTTCACTCATTCATCCATTTGTTCCATGAATTGATTTCATTACCACTAGATTATAAACTCCTGGCAACTGAGCTCTGTTCTCCAATCACACCTCAGTCCAAAGTCTTCTCTAACCGGAGAAAAGCCATCTCTGAGTTGGTCATTCCATCTGGCAGATAAAACTCCATCAGAAACATTAACCAGGATCTTACCTCTCCTTTGTCATTTATTGCTGATTTTGAATTGTACTGTTCCATGAGAAATAAAGATGCAGCTTTGTACATACTATATCCACAAATACTTTGTTTTGCTCATGTAATAGTTGTCATACTTAGGAAATGAATAAAAATAATACATATTTCCCCATATCTGTTTTAAGTTATTTAGAATCAAATGTGCTTTTTGCACCTGTCGAAAGTCATGTGGTTTTGGACTGAGGTATACACCATTTGGGTATTTTCCACTCTCCACAAACATGAACTTCACCTTACATGAATCCAGCTGTGGAAATGTAGTTATAAATTTAGGAGATACGGCCTTCTTGGGATGATTCCTTAAGCTGGGCAGGTCAAGCACTGTTCCTGGCAAACTGCTTTTTATTCTCCTTTCTCCTTTCTTAATGGTCCTTGATGGTTTTTCTGGAAGTCTCAAAGATGTATACAGTTTATAACTAAAATCAGGAGGCTTTATTTTCCACATTTTGACTTTTATTTCAGATTGTGGTGGCTGCAGGACATTTTTTTCTATTTGGGGTTGTGATCTTAGGTTGAACACTGTCTCTTCTGCAATATCCCTGCCTCTTCTGCCTTTCTGGATCTCAAGGGCATTTTCCCATGTCAGAATCTGCAACAGATGTGGACATCGGTGGAAGATATGCCACTGTAGTAATGGTGCATCGAATATTATCCCTATGGGCCAGGGTGATCTCTGAAAGATTTACAGAGCAGGAAAAAAGCTCAGAAATGACAGGGTATGTGTAGGGGGTGGGGGGATGGAAGAAAGCATCATGGCTAGTGCAAATATTCATTCAGCAACCTTGTCACCGCAGTCAGGGCACTAGAGGCCAGGAATTTTAAATAACTAACTTGAAATTCATGCCCCTAAGTAACAGAGCTATTGGGAGAAAGACATGAAAACAAAAAATAAAGCTTCATCTAAGGCAATGATATTACGATAGTGTTATGAGAAACAAGGAGAGGGCTCAGCTAACACTATCGGGAAAATAGAAGAGACATCAAAAGAAAAGTTATCATTTGAACTAATCTTGAAGGACAAGGAGAAACATGCCAGGGGGTAAAGGGAGGACACAACATGTCACCAAAGCACAGAAAGGATGGAAAATTTGTTACAAACTATTTCTAGGATTCTACGGCCACCTAAGCTGTACTAAGTGTGCTGTAGCTCCTACTGCTGGGATCTGTGGACAAAAAGCATGGATTTGCTCTCTGCTGATCCATGACAAG